CCGGCATGCCGAGCACCGCCACAAGTCCACCCGATCCCTCCCCTTCTCTTGCGGCCGAGGCGGCGACCCCTCCGCCTGACACTGCCGAAACCAAGGCAACGCGTACGTACTCTCCCTGGCAGGGGCACCAATTCCCCCTTTGGGCGTCTCCCTCTTACGTGACTGACCCGTCTCTCTCTCTCTCTCTCTCTCCCTCACCCCCTGCCTCTGATGCCCTTGGGCTTCCTCCCTGTGCACTTCTTTCCCATTCCCCTGGCGCCCAGCTGCCGATCGCAGTGCCCGGCTGGAAGAGCTCAAGAAACGCACCCGCGAGATTGAGAAGGTGAGTTCCCTGCTTGATCGCCAATCTCCTGCTCACGCTCCGCCCTTCTCACCGAGCTTCTCCTGCCTCGCGGCCTTCCTCGCGGCCCTTTCCTGCCTTCACCCATTCGCTTGGGATTCCATCGCCCGCAGGAGAATGATGCTTTAATTGTGAAACTCGCTCGGGCCAATAAGGACATCTCACGTTTGAGGCTGGAACGGGGGTACGCGATCCGGATCACCAGGATCAGTCTTCCCTCCCTCTCTCCCCCCCCATGCCTTTAACCTGCATCACGTCCTGACATGCTCCCCCCATCTTTCCTCCCCCTCTTCCGCTTGCTTGACCGGGGCCGGGCGGCGGGAATAGCCTTCTCTTTGACCGCCTCGAGGAGCTGGAAAAGAAGGGGGTTATTCCGTTCATCGTGGCTCCGGCCCATGCGTCCACCGATGTGGTGGATGACCTGGCCTCCGGGCTAGTCGGTACCCCGTCGCGGCACGTGCGCTCCGAAAAGTCCAACCCCTCGATAGACGCCGGCGCGACCGAGGCAGGATCGGCCAGCTCCTCCAAAGGCTGAGCGATGTGGACACTGTCGTGCGTGCGAGGCCATTTCCCCGGCGGCGCATTGTTTGCCCCGGGAGGAAATGCCCCCTTCCTGTTTCCACGGCGGCCCCACCTCCCGTGCGCTTGCGCGCACACTCAATACACACAAAGTCCCGTCACACGCGCGTGTCGACACCACTCTCCCGGCCCCTCTCCCCCGGCTTTCTGCTCTTTCCCCCTCTTCCTTCTCCTGCTGTCGCGTCCGAGCCCCTACACACTCCGACGCATGCATGTGCTTACATGGGCACATTCACTCCCTGTGTATGGATGTATGCATGCACGCACGCATGTCTGCTTGGATGCCCGGTCGCCGATCCTCAGTGCTCTTGCACCTCCCCGGAGAGAGGCGTGGGGGCGGCCAAACACCGCTCCAAGAGTGGTGCTCGGGCCGACCAGGCAGGCAGGCACACACACACACACACACACACACACACACACACACGCAGGCCATTGCTGGTGGAGAGGCCTGCTCGTTTCTCTCCCCCCCCCTCTTTCCCCCGCCTCGCAATGGAGTGCGATCGATCAGTTGCTCGTGACCAGACAATCCGATATCACGCGACTACTCCAGAATAGACTCCCTGCGGAGTCCATCTGGAGTCCTCCCGGCAGTAGCCCCCTTGGGCTCTCGGCCCCTCGCCGGGGGAAGAAGGGCACAGGGGGTGGTGGGACGCACCGGCTGGGCCCTTCGCATTTTGGCAGCCTGACCCGGGGCCGGGGAGCTGCCTCTTGGTGTGTGTACCCCTTGAAGGAGATGGCCCCCCCCCTCCCCCCCCTCCGTTCCTCCCTACCGCGCTTCCCGTCCAGTTTCCCGTCGGGCATATCTGTCCATCGGGGGGGGGTGCGTGTGTTTTGGTACTGGGCCCCAGCCCGAGAAGCGGCCTCGAGGAAGCCCGTGCATACAACCAATCAGCAACAGGGCCCGGTCGTGCCAGGGTGGTGGGCCCCGGGGTACGTTCGCGCGTCATGCCCAGCCGCGGGCGGGCCCTCTTGTTGTTGTACCGAAGGGAGGCAGACGGTTCCTGCGGTTCCACACCTGCCCGGCCGCCCTCCAGGCGACTCCATGGTTCTCAAAAGTGTGCCCAGAAGAGAAACGGGGCCCCTTGCAGACAAGCACCCCGAGCGCTTGGGGAAGGGGGGGCGGGGCGGGGCCGGGCGCAGGGGGGAAATAAATAATAAAGACGCCGACATGTACCTTTGAAGGGGCGGCTAGAGACAAGAGCACTTGCAGGGGGGG